ACAATCCTTAGAGAGGGAACGAAATATATTGGTATGAATGGGCCGAGTAGTACAGACACAACTGTCCGGTGATTAGAACGTGGGGCTGAGAGTCAAGAGTTTTAATCCCAGCAATGCCACAGATTTAGGGCTTGCCTACACTTGAAACACTACAGCATCCCCTCTGCAGTGCTTCACTGTAGATACTACCTACACCAAGGGTGGGGTTCTCCCATCAGCGTAGCTAATCCACCTCCCCAAGTGGCCACAGCTAGGTCAACAGAACAATCCTTCTGTCACCCTAGCAGTGTCTACACATGGACTTAGGTCAGTTTAACTACTTTGCTCTGTGGGTGTGGATTTTTCCTGAATGATGTTGCTAGGTCATTCTAATTTTCTAGTGCAGAACAGCCCTCACTATGCAAACTTGTTCAAGTTTCAACCTGTGTGCCTTTGTTTCCCCATGTGAAAGATTGTATTTATTTTGGTTTCTCTCATACCTATAGTGCTCTAGGAATCTATCAATATATAAACACAGATAGAAAATCTAAAGAGTTACAATAACAAAACATTGCTTCATCAAATCTCCAAACTGAGAAGGTGTTGTGAGGCTTAATTAATAAATATCTGTACTGTGCTTTGAACTCCTCTGGTGAAAGGACCCTTGTCAAGGTTCCTTCCCCACTCTGAACTCTAGGGTACAGATATGGGGACCTGCATGAAAGACCCCCTAAGCTTACTGTTACCAGCTTAGGTTAAACGCTGCCACCATCAAAGTGTTACACAAAAAACAGGGGAAGTGCCCACTTAGAAACATCTCCCCCCCAAAATATCCCCCCAAGCCCTACACCCCCTTTCCTGGGGAAGGCTTGATAAAAATCCTCACCAATTTGCATAGGTGAACACAGACCCAAACCCTTGGTTCTTAAGAACAATGAAAAAGCAATCAGGTTCTTAAAAGAAGAATTTTAATTAAAGAAAAAGTAAAAGAATCACCACTGTAAAATCAGGATGGTAAATACCTTACAGGGTAATCAGATTCCAAACATAGAGAATCCCTCTAGGCAAAATCTTAAGTTACAAAAAGACACAAAAACAGGAATATACATTCCATTCCGCACAACTTATTTTATCAGCCATTTAAACAAAACAGAGTCTAATGCATATCTAACTAGATTGCTTACTAACTCTTTACAGGAGTTCTGACCTGTATTCCTGCTCTGGTCCCGGCAAAAGCATCACAAAGACAGAGAGAGAGACCCTTTGTTTCCCCCCTCAAGCTTTGAAAGTAACTTGTCTCCTCATTGGTCATTTTGGTTAGGTGCCAGCCTAACCCTTTACAGGTGAAAGGGTTTTTCCCTCTGGCCAGGAGGGATTTAAAGGTGTTTACCCTTCCCTTTATATTTATGAAAACTCTTTATTTGCCTCTCCAACAGTAGCAAAGAAATTTAAAAGGTTACCATAATATTTTAAGGCCCACAGTATAACCTATCTTAACATTCTTGAAGGCAGAGTAGAATCTTCTGGACTCTAAGGGCCAGAGGTAAAATGTTCAGAAGCACGTAAGTGACTTAGGCTCCTAAGATCTGTTTGCAAAAGGGCTCAGCACTCAAGAATTTGAGTCTCATTGACTTCCACTGGGATTTGGACTCCTAAGTCATTTAGGCCTGGTCTACACTTAAAAGTCAAAAGAAAAGGAGTACTTGTGGCACCTTAGAGACTAACCAATTTATTTGAGCATGAGCTTTCGTGAGCTACATCTGATGAAGTGAGCTGTAGCTCACGAAAGCTCATGCTCAAATAAATTGGTTAGTCTCTAAGGTGCCACAAGTACTCCTTTTCTTTTTGCGAATACAGACTAACACGGCTGTTCCTCTGAAACTTAAAAGTCAGGTTGCCATAGCTACAGTGCTCAAGGGTGTGAAAAATTCACATCCCTGAGCATCATAGCTATGCTGACCTAACCCCCAGCGTCATGGGTGCCAGGTTTGTATAATTTTTGGTGGTGCCCAGAACGGATCCAAGCATAGCCCTGCCATCCATAGCAACCGCCCCGGGCCCTGCGCTTCAGGGGGATGCAGGGTCCAGGGCAAGCAAGCACCTCAGCCCATCCTGCTCCGCCCCACCAGCTCCCAGCGTTGCTCGGGAGAGAGGACGGAAGCCGGAAAGAAGTGGGCGGGAGCTTGAGGGAAAGGGTGGAGTGGGGGCATGGGTGGAGCAGGGGCAGGAAGAGGCAGAGCAGAGCGGGGCGGGCTGGGGCCAGGTCGCTCGCTGCTGCCAGTGCCAGGCCTCCCACTAAGCCCCCAGGCAGCCCTGGACCCTGCATCCCCCTTGAAGAGCGGGGCCCCCCAAAGTGCAGGGCCCCCCAAAGTGCGGGGCCCAGGATGGTTGCTCCGGTCTGTCCTATGGATGGGATGGCTCTGAAAATATAAGCCCAAACACCAGTGGAGCCAGGCTCACGTTCCTGAATATTGGTGGAGCATGGGCACCACGGCCCCCGATAACTCGCCACCTATGCCCAGTGTAGATGCAGCCAGGTTGACAGAGGAATGCTTCCATCAACTTCAAACACCATCACTTTGGGAGATGGAGTTCTTACAGTGATGGAAAAACCCCTTTGATCACTGTAGGAAGCTTCTACACTACGGCACCCTAGCTAGAGTGCCGTAGCCATGCCAATGTAGCACCGATAGTTTAGACAGGGCCTTCGACACTTTGGAAAATGTTACCCAAGACTTTTAATCAATGGCTTCTCTTTTTGAACTTATGATAATTAAGGCTACATTTATGGAAGTCACTGAATCCATGACTTCCAGAGATGTCGGTGACATTCTCTGCTTCAGCCCCAGGGGCTTCAGGACTCTGGAGCTCACAGTGGGGCCCTGGCAGGGTTCCAGTGACAGGTGACAGCCTCATGCAGGGGGAGAGGGAAGGGGGGGCACCTCAGGTGAGTGGCTGGGGGTGTCCCATTTTCTCTTTGGGAAATACGGTCACCCTGCAGCTCCCAGCCACTGTGGGAGGAGGGGGAACCCAACAGCTCCCAGCCACCACAGTGGTGGGGGAAACCAAGGAGCCGCAGCAGCAAAAGTCACAGACAGGTCATAGCTTTCGTGAATTTTTGTTTATTGCTGGTGACCTGTCCATGACTTTTACTAAAAATAACCATGACAAGAATCATAATTTGGCCCCTGCAATTAAACGTGGAGCCAAATGCTCCTACTTAGACATCTCAATCCCTGATTTGTGAATGTTGTGAAGTATCTCTGTTTCTAAATGGGAGCATCTGTGGGTGTAAAATTTGTGGGCACAGTTATTTGCAGGTGCAAAATGCACCTGCAAAAGTAAATTGTTGTTGTTGTTATTTGTATAATCACTAAATACCTAGGCTAGGATTTTCCAAAGTACATAAGGGAGTTAAGTACCCATATCAAACTGAGTTTTCAATGGGCATTGGACACCTAATTCATTTAGGCCCCCTTGAAAATCCCAGGCCTGGAAAGAATTAAAAAACTGAGATGCACTACTTTTCCCCAGATGTGTGTAAGACTCTGAGATACTCTTCCTAAAGCTTTAAGCTGCTCTCATCTCCACAACCACAGACTGAAAGCTGGACACTGCTCTTGCGAAAGTCCACAGAAACGGCTCACTTTATAGGTCAAAGGGTCCTTAGAATGATGTATGCGCCTCTCTCCCAGCTTGTGCTAACCAAGGAGCAAAGCAGGGAGCTCAATTCCAATCCTCTGCATACTAGTATTCGAAAACCTGACACACTGCTGGCCCAGCAATACCCAGGAGTCTAAAGGCTGCTCAGAAACATAGTAGCAGTGTCTTGCGCTCCCTCTGCTGGTTGGCTGCTAGCACTCACTATTCCCACAGGGGTAGACGTCAATTGTGCTAGTCACAATGCTAGTCTTGCAGGATGAAGATGAAATTGAAGTTGCCGTTGTTAAACTGGGACAGCCGGATGAATTTCAAACCCGCTGCAACAAGGAATTAATTAAATATTCATATAAACTGTGCTCTTGTTTGCTCCAACACAGGCCCTCACACACCCATCAAGCCAGGAAACTATCTACTGCAAGAGAGATGTAAAAAAGCTCCCTTCCCCATTGTTTTCTTCACCCTGCTAAATCTACTCTGGATCATATTGGCCCAGTGTTGATTCTGCTTTCTCTGTGGAAACGATGCAGTTCTTCACAGCTTCTCATTCACCAGAGGGAGGTAGCTGGTCAGTCTACAGCATGATGTGAGCTGTGGCTCACGAAAGCTCATGCTCAAATAAATTGGTTAGTCTCTGAGCTGCCACAAGTACTCCTTTTCTTTTTGCGAATACAGACTAACACGGCTGTTCCTCTGAATTCTTCAGAGATGTGTCCTCTGATGGTCACAACGTTTCCTGCTGGCTGCTTTGACGCTTGTGCTGCAGGAGAAAAGAAGTTAGTGAAATGTAAAAGAAAACTAGAATCCCCAACTAGCTGGTTCCCAAGAGCTATAACAGTCTGAACAACTTGGGGGTCGCACTGTGCTTATGTGGGCTGAGCTCACTGTACACACCAGGGGCCCCATGGCATCCCTCCATTCTCCCCTACAAACTCCCTATGTGCCACCCACCCACCCCCTTTTCTTTAAGGGACTTGCTGCAACCCCCATCAACACCTTCATGCCAGGGAATCTGTGTGCCCTGATCCTAGGGTCCCCCTTTCTCCCCACAATGCCAGGGGCTCTGCGTATGCCCCCTCCATTCTTCGTTTTCTTTCTTGGTGTTAGGATTTTAAACTCATGGGGAGGATCAGCAGAGCTGATATGGGGAGGAGTTGTTATAAGGGAAGGTGTTAATGGCTGCTATCAACTGGTTCTTTGATCTGTAGACAATTCAAAAGAAACCGCTGGCTCTCCTGATCCGATGCAAGGGGCTCTGCGTACAGGGGCGGCAGAGCCTTCCCAAAAGTGGGGGGGCAGGGAGCCCCCACCCCCGAGGCCCTCCTCCCGCCCCTCCGAGGCCCCGCCCCTCCTCTTCCCCTGGAGAAGGGGAAGCTGGAGCGGGGCCGGAGAGCCTGCCCAGGGCAGGGGTGGGCTGACAGTAGCCCCCTGTCCGCGTCCCTGCCCCCCCCTCCACAGCAGGTAGGGGGACCCAGGCTCCCGCACAGCTTCCCGCGCAGCTCTTACCCCGACCTGGCTTCGGCTGGGGAGCGGAGCGGCGCCTTGGAGCCGTGGCCCAGCCATGGTGAGGGGCGCGCGGGCAGCTGTGGCGGACCCTCCACCTGCCTGTGGTGCGGGGGCCCGAGAGCAGGTGGCGGGTCCGCGCCGGGGTTCCGCACAGCTGCCCCTGCGGGTCGGGTTGGGGTAAGTCCTGTGGGGACTCGCGCCCGGGTGCCTCCCCAAACCGGTAACCTCCCTCCCCCCAGGGCCACCAGCCCGGGTGGCCTCAGGCTCCCCTGCAGCCCGCCCGCTTTCTGCCGGCACAGCTTGGCAGGAAGGAGCGGAGCCTGCAGGGAAACGTCTCCCTAGAGCCTCGGGGCGAGGGAGCTGGGGGCACGTGGCAGCCGGGACAACTCCCTGCCACGGAGCTGGGGTGCCCAGTTCACTGGCGCGGGGCCGGCTGCGACTCAGTCTCTGGCTCGGGGAGCCGGCGTGGACCCTACACCTCCAGCTGCCCTGGGCCGGGCACCCGGGGGGCAGGGACACGGGCTAGGGGCTGCTCTCCGCCCCCCGCACCACAGACAGGTGGGGGGCCCGCGCGGCTCCCACAACAGCCTGGACTCCCCGGCCAGGCGCCACCAGCTGCTAGCCTGGCCGGGGGGGGGGCACTTCGAGGGGAAGGGGGTGGGGGTCTGCCATGGCAAAATGTGGACTGGCCAGGCCCATGCACTTTTAATAAGTGGGATGACCATGGCCCGTTGACACCCACCCCCTTGTTCTAGCGCCACTGTCTGGGGGTCCCCCATTTCCCCTTTCTGGTTTTCAGAAAAATCAACAGGTTTCTGCTTATTGGTACCTCGAATACGTTCCCTGAAATTTTGGAATTAATTGAATGTGGCATTCAAAATGTACTGCATTACAGATGCAGAGAAATGCTATCAAGTTACATATAAAGCTTTGCAAGCTTTGCCAGTTAATCCGTAGGGATACACTGACTTTCATGCAAAGTCTTCAAAGCACTTTACACAAGTCCATAAATGGCAGGTGTCAGAGTAGCAGGGGTGTTAGTCTGTATCCGCAAAAAGAAAAGGAGTACTTGTGGCACCTTAGAGACTAACAAATTTATTTGAGCATAAGCTTTCGTGAGTTACAGCTCACTTCATCGGATGCATTCAGTGGAAAATACAGTGGGGAGATTTATATACACAGAGAACATGAAACAATGGATGTTACTATACACACTGAAAGGAGAGTGACCAGGTAAGATGAGGTATTATCAGCAGGAGGGGGGGTGGGGACCTTTTGTAGTGATAAACAAGGTGGGCCATTTCCAGCAGATGAGGTATTATCAGCAGGAGGGGGGGTGGGGACCTTTTGTAGTGATAAACAAGGTGGGCCATTTCCAGCAGTTGACAAGAACACGTGAATGTTATAATTCTTGACATCTGATTTGTGTCCATTGATTCTTTTACGTAGAGACTGTCTAGTTTGGCCAATGTACATGGCAGAGGGGCATAGCTGGCACACAGAGACCTCAGGAGGTCATCTAGTCCAACCCCCTGCTCAAAGCAGGACCAATCCCCAATTTTTGCCCCAGATCCCAAATGGCCCTCTCAAGGATTGAACTCACAACCCTGCGTTTAGCAGGCCAATGCTCAAACCACTGAGCTATCCCTCCCCCCTGCCATATATCTATTCAGGGGACACCATCATAGGGCCTGATCACATCAGCCACACTATCAGAGGCTCATTCACCTGCATATCTACCAATGTGATATGTGCCAGCAATACCCCTCTGCCATGTACATTGGCCAAACTGTTTGGAAAGCTGAGATGCATTAGGCACATACCCAGCCAGATAGGCCAAGTCTTTCTTTTCCTTGATAATGTTGTTGTAGCCGTGTCGGTCCCAGGATATTAGAAAGGCCACCAACAGAAACTGATCCAATAAAAGATGTTACCTCACCTACCTTGTCTCTCTTTTCCCTGACAGACACCTAAAAGCCCAAGGTAGCATTATGCTGGCTTTACTTGTCATTGTTAAGCTGGGGAAAGCGCTTTCCCACTAAATTGCCTATATTTACAGGCTTGTGGTTGGGATGTTGTCAGGAGATCAGAAAAAGGTTGGCCAATGAAAGACAGCTGATGTATGGTAGTTGGATTTTTAATCTTTGTCACTTGTTGGGTTCAAATACAGACTTCAGCTCATTAAAGATTAGAAAGCGAGACCAGGACTTAGGCTTCTTGGGTTCTCTTCCCACTCTGCCACCTACTCACTAGGCCTAGTTACCCCATTCTTTTGCTTAAAGCAAGGCATATGGAGGAGGGAGCGTTCCCATTATTTTAGGTCATCTCCAATGAAACTTAGAGCAGCCTCAGGGTTACTCTAATTAATAGGGATATCACTCTGTGGGCCCAAAGAATATCTGTAATGCCGGTGCACTCTGACCACACCCCCAAAACATTTCTGACATGCCCCTGAGCCATCCTTTAAGCCAGGTGCAGGGAGTAGGGCCAGTGTACAGCCCTTATCCCATTTCTGTACCATCTGAGGAGGCCACATGCACAGGGGTTATTCTCAGGAGGCCATTTCTTCCTAATCTAAGGTCTCTTCATGCTGCCGGTTTAGCCTAAAGAGCCTTAGTATAACTAAGACCAGGTCTACACTTAAAAAATTAGATCAACCAACTACGTTGCTCAAGGCTGTAAAAATTTTTGTGCCCTGTTAGACATAATTATATTGACCTAACCCCTGGTGTAGACCTGGCTAGGTCGACAGAAGCATTCTTCCATCAACCTAGCTCCTGCCTTTGGGAGAGGTGGATTAACTACATTGATGGAAAAACCCCTTCCATTGCTGTAAGGAAGGATCTACACTACAGTGTGACAGCAGCACAGCTGCAGTGCTCTCGCTGGGCTGTGGGGGCAGCTGTAGTTAAGGGCAGTGGTTCTCAACCTTTCCAGGCTACTGTACCCCTTTCAGGAGTCTGATTTCTCTTGTGTACCCCAACCCCAAGTTATACCTCTTTTAAAAACTACTTGCTTACAAAATCAGCCATAAAAATACAAAAGTGTCACAGCATGCTATTTGTGAAACTTTGCTTACTTTCTCATTTTTTTTGATATAATTATAAAATCAATTGGAATAGAAATATTATACTTATAGGTCAGTTTACACTATATAGAGCAGTATAAACGAGTTGTATAAAATTTTAGTTTGTACTGACTTCGCTAGTGCTTTTTACGTAGCCTGTTGTAAATATCTAGATGACTTGATGTACCCTCTGGAAGACCTCTGTGTATCCCCAGGGGTACACGTACCCTTGGTTGAGAACCACTGATGTTGACATATCTAACTCCACACAGTAGGCCTGATCCTCGGGGCAAGTCACTTAATCAGTCGGTGCTTCAGTTTCCCCAGCTCTAAATGGGCTAATATTACTTGCCCACTTTTCTTGAGTTTTGGGGATGCATTAATGTTGATGTAGTGTGTAAGGTGGTTGGAGGCTGAGCACCTTAGAAATGCTATTTATTTATAGATAGCATTATAATAATTGTTGAAGTAGTGCACTGCTTTTGGTATCAAAATAACCCTGTGCCATGTTCTGCCCTGAGCTGCATTCCCATTGAACTGAAGGCAGAACTGGTCTCCCCCGACTTCCTGCTGCACTCAGGGAGGGAGACATGCTTCCCCTGCAGCGTTAGAGAGCTTCTGTCTCATAGCAGCAGCAGCAGGCGGCCTGTGCAAGGCGGGGGTAGGGGATGTGAAGCTGCTGTCTGTGTGCAGCTGGAGGAGCAAGTAGAAACAATCTCTTATTTATGTGCAGGAGGAGGAAATGCTTTAAAGAAATGAAAAAATAATGAAGCTGAGTCCAACACACAGCACAAGCAGAAGGAAAAGGAAAAAAACCGAGAGCCTAGTGGTCAGGGCCCATTAAACCGGTTAATAATTTATCTGTGGTGGCGCAGCTGCCTCTGCTCACGTAGGACTTGGAGGAGCGAGCGGGGCTCAGGAAGCGGAAGGCTGAGGCTGCACGTACAGGGGCAGACTTCAGAGCGCTTGTGGCACGTGTCACGTCTCCAAGGGCTCCCAGAGGCTCTCATTGTACAGAGAGCCCTGCTCAGCTCAGTGGCAAAGAAACAAGAGGCCTTATTCCACCTGTTGCATAAGGGCTACCCTTCTACACAAACACTCCTGCCATCTTGATTATCACTACAAAAGTTTTTTTTTCTTCTGCTGATAATAGCTCATCTTAATTAATTAGCCTCTTACTCCACCTTTTCATGTTCTCTGTATGTGTGTATATATATATCTTCTCACTATATGTTCCATTCTATGCATCCGATGAAGTGGATTATAGCCCACAAAAGCTTATGCTTAAATAAATTTGTTAGTCTCTAAGGTGCCACAAGTACTCCTGTTCTTTTTGCGGATACAGACTAACACGGCTGCAACTCTGACTCCAGCCTCTGTTTAACTCCTCCATAGCCAACTTGTGTTGCTCTGGCTCTGTTTTTCAGTGCCATTGCGTTCCTGCTTCCTCAGTCTCACTCACTCCCTGATTCTCCTCTATCACTGGTGTTGTAAATCAGAACTCAGCAGCTCCAGTGAAATCAGTGGAGTTACTGGTGAGAGTGAGAAAAGAATCAGGCCCTCTGTGTTTCATTGTGGGAGCTTCTCTTTCCCCAGCATCTTCTCTGCAAACACCCCCATTAGTGACCTCCTTTCATTGTGTCTGCTGCCCCCACTCCTACCCTTCTGTTTGATACACATTTCATACTTTCTCTAGTCTGCTCAGTTTCAAGGTAGCTGCTTCTCCCTCTTCCAGCTGCTGAACTCTTGTATACAGCAGAACTGTGCAAAATTTTCATCACACATTTCATTGTGAAACTGGAATTCACATCAAAATTACCCTGTTTTTGCTTTTTACATATTTTTGGTGATTTTTTTTTTAAATTGCACTTGAAAACAGGCTGTTTTC